GGGTCAGCCTTTTCATAAAACAATTCCCCTGGCCATCTCTAGTGTGGAGTGCTGGATGTTCTTGTGCTGGAGGTGCTGCACAACCCCAAAGGGCTCTGTTGGGCTGCTCCAGCTCTCTCAGGGTTCTGTGCTGCATCCCTGTGTCTCTGTCCAGCCCTCCTGAGGACAGTCAGTGCTGCTGCCTGACGCTGAGCAGTTTTTGAAGACAAAAAGCAAATATTCACTCGCACTTTTGACTCCTGCCCATCCCGAGCTCACAGTTCCTGCAGGGAGCAGCCCAGGCTGGTTGGTGCTGGGCCATCGAGCTGAGCTGAGCTGTCACCTCATGTGATACCCCTGCCCAGAGTGACATTTTTCCTTCCCTCCAGGCAGTTCCTGATCCGTTTGTGATGCTCTCGCTGAACGCGCCGGGTGTTGTTGGAGGGCACATCGATGGTGCTCCCAAAAGCCTTCCTGAAAAACAACTGCAGTGCACTCAAACACAGTGAAACAGTGCTGGGGGAGCTGCCTGGGTTTATTTAAAAAGTGGAATAAAAAGGAGACACAGTCATGGGGCTGAGCTTGTTTGTTGTAACAGCTGGGCTGGTTAAACACACCCAGCAGGGCTGTGGTGGGGTGAGGTGGCTGCTGTTTCTCTGAGTGTTCCTGGGGTAGGAAAATACAAATATTAATATAAAATTTGCTTTCAAACAAGCATGGACAGAGGTGGGAGGTGCCAGTGGAGCTGTTGTGTGACAGTGCCTGGGGCAGGGGTTGGTTTTCCCAAACAGGGAAGGGGTTTGTAAGGAGTCAGTAGGGTTTACTCATAGGTAACCTGTGCTGTGTAGGCAGACCCCCCTCATCCTCACAAATCCTTCTTCCTCTCCAGCCTCTGGGATCTAAAATGCTGCCACTTCATCTTCCATTACAGGTTAGGGACAAGGGGGGCACTTATAGGATTGTGTCTTTTGTTGAGGGAGTGACAAAACTATTTTTTGTCTCCTTGAAAAGAAAAGCAGCTTAGAAGTTTTTGTTTTCATTTAGGTGAAGAAAGTAACTTCATAGGCTTAGGGGACTTCACTTTAAACTTAAGGATAGCTAATTGGAAGTTAAAAAGTTTTGTTTAAGCAATTAACTAGAGAAAGGAATGAATAAAAAACCTAACTGCTTTTGTAAGGTGTTTTACTAAGAGCAAGAATGTCTAGAACTTAGCTCAGTTTTCTCTGTTTGTTATTTTGCCTTTTATTAAACCTTTTTGTTTCCAACACTGGATGGCAACAAAAGCCATCTTGCTCATTTTTATGCCCCCAAAGGTAGCTGAGCTATCTTGGGTGTGTTACAGGCCTCCAAAAGCTTATTAGACCCAGCTCAAAAAAGTTTCTATAACAGCCACTGGCAGGTGAAGGTGGTTCAAGGCACAGGGGTCCCATCCTGGGCATAAACCAGAGCAATTTCTGTTCATTTTAGCTGGGATTTGGCAAAACCAAGCTGCTAGGCAGCTTGGGGTTTATTGGGGAAGATGAAACAGGGAAGCATTATAAATATGATTGCCTGGCAAAAGATTTTGATAATATGGAAACTATTCAAGTGAGCTTGAAGTGAAAGCAAGCTTTGAGATCCCTTAGTTAATGAACAACTGGAAAAGAATGGTGTGGCTGACTGAATTGGATTAAACAACACCCTCTGCTTGCAGACAGGCCCAAGGGTCAGAGCAGACCCTGCAGCTTGGCAGAAGGGGCCCAAAGAGGAGTTTTTAGGGTTTAAAATGTAACACAGTGTGGTAATGTAATGATTCTTATAGGCTGTATGGAAATGCTGTAGGATTTGTGTATTGTACTAGATTGGTTAGTGAGAATCAGAATATTCAGCGCAGATTTATGGTATTGTGATGGGAACTTTGCTCTCTTTCCCTCTTGCTCTCTCTCATCCTCTTTACCACACCTTGCCTTCTTTCTCTTTACCCCTCTCTTTACCTTTCTCTGTGTTTTGGGCCTGCTCTGAGCTGTGGCTGGCAGCTCCCAGCAGGGCCCTTTGCCATAAACTGCAGGTTCCAAGCTCTGGCTGCAGAGATCTCTCATCTCCATCCACCCTGACCATCCTACCCCCATCACTCCTACAGGGGTTCAGGCTGGGGACAAGGGGGACACTGGCAGGTGAAGGTGGTTCAGGGCACAGGGGGTCCCATCTTGGGCATAAACCAGAGCATTTCTGTTCATTTTAGCCAGGATTTGACAAAACCATGGAAGGAAGCTGCCAGGTTGAGTTTAGTGTGATCCACGGGCTGTTCCCGAGGCACCTGGAGCAGTTTGGATGCTGCACTCTGCCTGGTTTGCTCTGCTGCAGCAGGGAGCTGCTGGGGAGCCCTGTTTGACCCTGCACTGAGCAGCCTGGGCTCTGTCTCCCTGGGGAAGAGCCTGGGGAACCTCAGGGGGTTTTTCCATCCAGGGCTGGATGGAGCCGGCTGCGAGCACGGAGTGGAAACATGGGATCGATCGGAGCCTGGGGATGTGCTTGTGCTGGCCTGGCCTAAACCAGTGCCTGAGTGACACTGAGAATGGCACAGGAACAGGCTGCACTGTAGAAAGAGTGAAGAAGATTTTATTCAGGAGAACTGCACGGTTTTTATAGTGACAGAGGAACAGGTGAGAGGCAGGATTGTGGAAAGAGCAAAGAAGGTTTTATTCAAGAGAACCCCACAGTTTTTGTAGTGACACAGGAACAAATGATACAGGAACAGGTGAGAGGCAGTGCTGTAGAAGGAGCAAAGAAGGTTTTATTCGAGAGAACCACACAGTTTTTATGACACAGGGACATTCAAGGAGGCAGGATTGTAGAAGGAGTAAGGAAGGTTTTATACAAGAGAACCACATAGTTTTTATAGTGACAGAGGAATGGGTGAAAGACAGTGTTGTAGAAAGAGCAAAGAAGGTTTTATTCAAGAGAACCACACAGTTTTTGTAGTGACACAGGAACAGGTGAGAGGCAGGATTGTAGAAAGAGTAAGAAAGGTTTTATTCAAGAGAACCCCACAGTTTTTATGACACAGGAACAGGCAGGATTGTAGAAGGAGTAAAGAAGGTTTTATTCCAGAGAACCACACGGTTTTTATAGTGAAGAGGAACAGGTGAGAGGCAGGATTGTAGAAAGAGTAAGAAAGGTTTTATTCAAGAGAACCACAGAGTTTTTATGACACAGGAACAGGCAGGATTGTAGAAGGAGCAAAGAAGGTTTTATACAAGAGAACCACCCAGTTTTTATAGTGATACAGGAACAGGTGGGGGATAGGATTTTAAAAGAGTAGAGAAGGTTTTATTCAAGAGAGCCACGCAGTTTTTGTAGAGTGATACAATAGATTCTGTTTGATTGGCTCTTAACAAAAACACCTTCCTCACACGCCATCCTTGAGAAGAACAGAAAAACAAAGTAGAAGAACACCACCTGCAGATGGTTTATACTTAACAAGTTATCACATCTTTACAACTCCCCAGAAATTCTTCCAAGCCACTGTGAGAAGCACTTGCTGTTTCTCTCTCTCTGTGCCATGGCATCCACACTGAGAGTGAGGGACAGGCTTGGCCAGGGCTCTCCATGTCCTGTGTCTGAGGAATATTTGCTCTGCTGAACCTCTGCTGCCCAACTCTAGATCCCTGAGCAGGGAAAGAGTGATTTGAAAGGATCTGAGAATGTTGCTGTTTGTGTTTATTTCTGTTGGACAACTCAGAAAATATTTGAACCTTGGACTTGATCTCAGAGGTCTTTTCCAACTTGAAAAATCCCTTCTAGGAGAACTTACTAAATATGGATTTTATTTTTCTTGTAATTAATCTTGTAATTTGTCTGAGGGCTCAACTATATGGTGAGGGTTTTTTAAATTTTGGGTTGGTATTTTTCCCCACTATTTTCACTATTCCAGCCTTCTCTTCAGCTTGGAAACCCATACTGGAACCCATCTCATAGAATGACAGCTATCTGAAATGTTATCTGTCTGAATATCCCTCCTAACTCTCTACAGCTTCCCATCTTACAACACTTGGAAGCCTTTATGATCTGGTTTGGGTTAGAAATTTGGTCTGTTGGTGTTGGTTTTAATATGAATTACACAGGGAGTGTTTGAAAAGCCTTCCCCTGGCTCCACAAGCTGCTGGATCCAATGCAGGAGTTGCTGCCCTCATCATGCCAGACACCAAAAGTTCCTCATTTTCTCCTGCTAGGTAAATTCCAACCACACCAACCAGGGAGTTGGAATTTAACAACTTTTTAACAACTGTTGATTGCACAAACACAACAGTGCCCAGCTCTAAACTGACTCCTGCAAGTCTTGTTGTCACCTTTCTGCCCTAGGGACCCTGGAGTCTGGAAGTTTTTCCCAGTACAGAGCATTCCTGGCTATCATTTTTGGATAAACATTGAGGCACTGGCAATTTAATTCTTCAAGTTAATTCTTCTTAATTTTTAATTCTTGATTTATTATTTTATGATATATATTACATTAAAACTATACTAAAATAATAGAAGAAAGGATTTCGTCAGAAGGCTGGCTAAGAATAGAAAGGGAAAGAATGATAACAGAAGATTGTGTCTCAGACAGAGTCTGAGCCAGCTGACTGTGATTGGTTATTAATTAGAAATAACTCTATAACACTAATCACAGATCTACCTGTTGCATTCCACAGCAGCAGATAATCATTGTTTACATTTTGTTCCTGAGCCCTCTCAGCTTCTCAGGAGGAAAAAATCCTAATTAAAGGATTTTTCATAAAAGACATCTGGGACAACTTCATGCAGAGACTTACACCAGCCTTGTGTTGCCTTGCCTTGCAGAAAGCCAGCTGAAGGAGGTGGAGGAGATGCTGGAGCAGGAAGGTTTGTCCCACATCTCGTGCAGTGCTGCCAGTGAACAGGTTGCTTATCTGCTGGTGGAGCGGGCGGCGCTGCTGGCAAGGCTGGAGGTGGCAGCCCAGCAGCTGGGACCCCACAGCAGCATGGATGGGCTCCAGGTACCTCCTGCTCCCTGGCTCTGCCTGCCTCTGAGCTGGGGGAAAGGAATATTTTGGGGATATTTCTGTAAAGAAAATGGTTTCTCCTTTCTCTGAGGCCATTGTGGAGTGTTGGGAGTGAAATACTTGAAAGGATTACAAGGAGGATGGAATGGAATGGTTTCAAACTGGCAGAATATGTCTAGATTGGATATTGGGAAGGAATTCCTGGCTGTGGGGGAGGTGAGGCCCTGGCACAGGGTGCCCAGAGAAGCTGTGGCTGTCCCTGGATCCCTGGAAGTGTCAAGGCCAGGTTGGGCTTGGAGCAGCCTGAGGTAGTGGAAGGTGTCCCTGCCCATGGTAGGGTTTTGGAATGGGATGAGCTTTGAGATCACTTCCAGCCCCAAACCAGTCTGGGATTCCAGGATTCTAAGTCAGTGCCTTTCTTCATTCTCACCCTTTGCACTTGATTTACTCCCACATCTGCACAGGGACAGTGAAATTGGTTATTTGCAATCCTGTGTTCAGGTTTTTGTGATGTGTTTGGTGTAAGGATCTTCACTGGGTAAGAATGAGTTCTCTGGGTTCAGCTGCAGCAGAGGAGGCTGAGGGCAGATCTCACTGGGGGCTGCAGCCTCTCCTGATCTCTGCTCTTTGTGAGCAGGGCCAGGATCTGGGGGAGCAGCTGGAGCTGTGCCAGGGGGGTTTAGGTTGGATATCAGGTTTTTTTCCCCCAGAGGGTGCTGGCACTGCCCAGGCTCCCCAGGGTATGATCCCAATACTGCCAGAGCTCCAGAGGGTTTGCACAGCCTGGGATTGTTGGGGTGTCTGTGCAGGGCTGGGGGCTGGACTGGATGATCCTTGTGGCTCTCTTTCAGCTCAGGATATTCAGATTCTGTGGTTCCAAGGCCATCACTTTCCACCTACTCGTGACTCTGTGGAACCGGAGTCCAGGAATGCTCTGGGATTCCAGGAGGTGCTGTTTGTCCCCAAGGTCCCAAAGCATGAGGAGGGAGCAAGACCTCAAACAGGGGTCAGGGCCCCTTCTCTTGTTCCTTTCTGTTTAATCAGGTGAAGGACACATTGGAGATGTGTTTTCCCGGAAAACTGAGTCTCCCTGACAGGGCTGATTACTGTCCCCAGTGATGTCATTGCTGTCTGTGCCTTGGGAGCACAAACTGTTGATTAAACACTCCATTGTTCCCGGGAGCATCCCGCTTGTTTTGCAGAGCCATTAGTGTTACAGGTTAAGGTGTTAATTGCTCCTCTTGCTCTGTTTACTGGAATGTGTGGCCTTGCTTGTTCCCAGTTGGCCTGTCCCACTCTTGGAATCAAGGGCTGGACACGTTCCTGTCTGCTTCAGGGATGAATTCAGCTTTTAACCAGCCTGCTCAAGCAGAATTGATTGTTTTATTGCATCCCCAGAAAAACAGAAAGGCGGGATACAAACCTGCCTCTCTGTGTGGTCAGCTCTGAGAAATCCATATGGAAATACCTTCTGGATTCAAGGCATGTGCTGCTCACCCACCCTCTAAAGTGCCAAATATCAAACCAACCAACGTGCTGAGCCTTAGGACCCCTTCAGAGCAGCTGCAGTGGAGCAGGAATGTGTAACTCCATGAAAAAAGGGATGTGGAGATGTCCAGGGAAGCTCCTGGGGTTCAGTTCCCTGTGCCTGGGTCAGGGCAGTGTGAGAATGAGCACAGGGTGGGGAGGAATTCATGGAGGGCAGCCCTGCAGGATGGATTTGGGAGTTCTTGTGGATTGGAAGGTGGATATGAGCTAGGAGTGTGTGTTTGCATCACAAAGCCAAACAGCATCTGCTCCTCTCTGAAAAGGCTCCCCCAGGACTGCTGCTCCAGCTCCAGCATCCCCAGCATGGGAAGGATACTCTGAGCCCCTTGGGAGATAGGAAAACTGGAGTTGTCCACCTGGAGAAGGCTCTGGAGATGCCTTAAAGCCCCTTCCAGTGCCTGAAAGGGCTCCAGGAGAGCTGGAGAGGGACTTTGGACAAGGATCTGGAGTCCAGGACAAGGGGGAATTGGGGAGGAATTCTTGGCTGTGAGGGTGTGAGGCCCTGACACAGGTGCCCAGAGCAGCTGTGGCTGCCCCTGGATCCCTGGCAGTGCCCAAGGCCAGGCTGGACAGGGCTTGGAGCAGCTTGGGAGGTGTCCCTGCCATGGTGGGACAGGATGGGCTTTAAGGTCCCTTCCATTCCAAGCCTTTCTATGACCCCATGATTGTGAATCTCCCAGTGTTACTCTGCTCTCCCTCATTTCAGGTTTCTCCTTAAGCACATTGGGAGGGTTTTTACCAGGTTTAGAGTAAAAAACCCAGAGCCCAAACAGTGTCACAGCATCACAGCCCCATCCTCACACTGTGCCCAGCCTGGGTGGGAAATCATCCCTTCATGAGGGGAATACCTCACATTTTGGGGCAGGGCTGCCTGGTGGGCATCTCCTGCCTTTGGTTTGTCCCAGAACTGGCACTGGAGATGAGGAAATGCACATTTTGGAGATGAGGAAATCCAGATTTTCCAATGGGACCAGTGTGGAGGGAGTGACAAATGAGGAAATCCAGATTTTCCAATGGGACCAGTGTGGAGGAGGTGACAAACAGCTCTGGCTTGGTCACATCACCACCAAATGAGGGTTCCTCATTTCCACTGGCACATTAACCCTTGTGCTTCAGTTCTGCAGGGAAGAGCTGGAGCAGGAGCAAGCACTGCCTGCAGGAGATGGGGGAGATCTGGATGAGGCCGCACACAGGCTGGTGGAGTCCCAGGAGGAGATCCCAGGCCTGGATGCACAAAGCAAAGAGCAGAGTGGAGCAGGTAAGTGCTGCTCTGGTGGCCACTCTGTTCTCTCTGCTTGGAATGTGGAAAAATCAGTGCCAGGAGTCAGCCTGCTCCCTAGGAGATGGGAATGAAGTCATTAACAGTCAACATGATATTTTCTGAAAAATCCCTTTGGCCAGGATTTCCTCTCCAGGGAAGCTGGGAAGCTTCAGCTTCTCCCTGTTTTGCTGCAGTTCCTCTCCAGCCCCATCTGCTCATTTCCAGCCCCTTCAGCCCCTCTCCAGCCCCAGCCCCACCATTCCCAGCCCTTCCCTGCCTGTGCTGGGTGGGATCAATGCCAGCCCCCAGGGATGGGATCAGTGCTGTGGCAGCTCCACTCTGGAGCAGGGCAGGCTCCAGCCTGGGGCTCCCATGGATTGCAGCAGGGAAATCTGTGCTTGGTGAGGTGCTGGATGAACACAAGGCTCTGAAAAATGTGAGTAAAGGTTTTGTGCTTGTTTTGTCTCTGGGGTTTGTGTCTGTGTGTGCAGAATGAGGGTGACAATGTCCCAGTGGCTTCCCTGCTTCTGTATCTCTGTAAAGTTTTTCCTCCTGAGCTCTGTGCCACCTGCTCTGGGAATTAATTAATTTGCTCCTAAAAACCTGGACTGGGATCACTCATCTTCAGTAAAACCCCCTAAACAGCATTTTTTTCATTCAGTGGTGCATTGGAAGGAAGAATTCCTGACCAGTTTGAGCCCAGTTAGTAGGATTTTGGTGAGGAAAGGATTTAAATGGTATTTAACAAAGTTCATGAGGAATGTTGTGAGGTTTTTTTCAAAGCAGAACTTGGCTGCCACATCCAAACCCTGTTGTCCTTGTGGAATCACCCCTGTGGTCAGCCCTGAAGGGGGAAAAACAGGAGAGGGAGTGGGAAAATAGGGGATGGTCAGGATTTTTGCAAGAGGAAAATTTTATTGTCCTTTCCTCAGCCTTTTAATAATCATGTGGATGTAGGCTGTATTCCCATGTATTCCCAGTGGATGCAGGATGTATTTTCCGTGGATGCAGGATATGCTCCCAGTGGATGTGGGACATGTCCGTGCTGCCTCCCACCTCTCCCACATGTGGGATCAGCCTGGGATCCGTGCTTGGATTGGGGCAGGCAGGGCCTGGCAGTGCCCAGCTCATGCCCTGGTGCTGCTGTCTCCAGACAGGGCTGAGCTCCAGAGGGCCATGGAGCACAACAGCCGGCTGGACAAGGAGATCCTGGCACTGCGGGCGCGCGTGCAGACCCTCGACCTGGAGAGGAAAGCGTTCCTGGAGCTGGTGAGCATCCTCCAACAATCCTGAAAGTCATCCCTGAAAGTCCTCCCTGCTCCCA